CCGCGCCGCGCGGCTCCCAGCTCCCCAGCTCGGGCCGCGACCCCACGACCAGCACCTCCGGCGCGGCCCCGGCCGCCGCGGGCGGCACCACCACGCCGAAGCGGACCCGCATGGCGGCGGGAGCCGGCGGACGCGAACCCCGAGCGCCGGGCGGCGCGCCGATTGGGCGGCGCGGGCTGCGGGGACACGTGCGCGGCTGCGCCTGTTTGGGCGGCGCCCAGGCCGGGCTTGTGGCCGCGGAGCCAGAGAGCCGGCCCGGCCCGGCGCCCCTAGGGCTCCGCTGCTCCGCGCGGCGGCTGGCGACGCGGCGAGAGGGAGGAAAGGAAAGAAAACCGGGCAGGCGAAGGGGCGAAACAGCTCACCAGCCCCGCGATTTTCCTGTCATCTTTCCAGAAGCCTCGAAATTATCTTTATGAGGGTCACACAGAAAAGGGGGGTCATACAGAAAAGCAGCCTCCATAGTAGTGACGTTGGGGAAAGATCCTGGACTGGGTATCTGGAGGCCTGTGGACCGTAAGGCGGTCACTTACTCTCTCTGGGCCTGGTTCTTTATCTCTAAAATGAGGGTATAAAATAATGATCTTGAAAGACCCTGCCCTCTCGAAAGGTTTCTCTGATGGGTGGAAAAGGCGCCATTCAGAAGCCAGGGCTGATGCAAAAACACAATATTTTTAGGCCCAGTTCAATTCGATGCCTAAAACAACACAACTCACTTTCTTCTTTCCAAAATATATAATTTTTTTTTACTGTATGTGAAATGGACCCTTTCCAGATGAAATAAACACTGTAATTCTTGTATTATAAATGCATGACATTTTTTGAATGGCATGAAAATAAAACATTTTGTTTAAAATCTGCTTTCAGGAGGGCACTTTTTCCAACTAAAACATTTTTGTATCAAGAAACATAGCTATATAGTTATTTAGTCAAAAGAAACTACATGGTGGGGGGTAACCTTAAATTACTGTTACTACCGTAAGGTAACCAAATGTCCTGTTTATACATTTGTTGCTTTTGATTCTTTAATAGAATTATCCTCATGTTCTTACATTTGTGTATTCACCAACATTTAACAATCTCTTACATGAACTGAAGATACATACACACACATTTTACCAGGATTTAAAGCTAGTGAATGGGGGGGTGAGGCGGGAGGAGCCAAATTTCATGCATTCAGAATATTATAAATAAAACAGAAGTACAAAAATGTAAACCACACACATTCAGTCTCTCTGTAGCTGCTAATATGTTTTACTCTTAAATATTGATATTCCACTCAGTGTTTGGTCGGTTGCTAAGCTTAAAGATAAACACAAAGAAAAATGTGAAGACAGCAAGGCTGGCCAAACACAGCTGGTCGGTAGCAAAGCAGACATTAAATCACAGTGGCATGTGAGTCCGTTTATTCAAATTGCTGTAACAAATTATTCTTAGACTAATTTCAGGAAATGAAGAGCATTTTGGCCATGTGAGGACCCTGGGAGCTGACAGTTCAGGACTTTTCTTGGTTTCTGTCATGCTGCCAGTGCTGTAGACTTCCCAAAGGGCATTATTTCCACCAGCTTTTCTGAAGTGCTGCCCATTCTATAGATGAAACAATAACAAAAAGGAAAAGGAAAAATAAAAAACAATATGTTTGTTCAAGAGACATTATTTTCTTTCCTCCTCTCTCATTGTAAAGTAATTTTAACATTGGAAGTACCCCCATGAAGACCCTAAACAAAATATGTGACAGCTTATTTTATGGCATGGATTTAAATACAGTACAAATGTGATGGCTCTGTTGTGCAAGAAGTAAAATGCATTTGGAAAGAAGAGCAACACCAAAATGTGGATTAAAGGATACATTGCAAAGCCTCAATCCTTCTTTGTCAATCATTTGAACTTATTAAGCATGAAAGTTATAACAGCCATTGAGCCCTTATTATGTGCCAAGCACAGGGTTTCATACTGATATTTCCTTACTTAATTTTCTCACCAATCTTATGAGGTAACTAATAGTGTTACCCCCATTTTCATATGTGAAGAAATAAATGCAGAAAGGTCCAGTAGACAGCCCACAGTGAGGGAGGGACAGAGCCAGTGCTTAAAGTCATCCATTCCACTATATTAAAGACATATATAATTATATATATATATACACACATATATAAAAGTTGATTTCTGATGAAATCATTTACAGAATGCATTTAAATCCCAACATATTTGAATGAGTTATTCTCCATTAGCTCTTTAACAAAAAATGAACATCCCATATTTATTTCCTGTAACTAACTTAATCCTTAGGAATGATGGAACACATGAGTCATAAATGGTAATCTAAACTGACCAATGAGTCTATAAAGACATAAATATTTTGATATTTAGAGAAGATTTCACCTCAGGACCTAAAAAATGCTTCTTTTCATGCCTCTATATGCCTATCCCTATTTATTGCCAGCTCTTTTCCTGGTTGAGTTTTCTACATGAGATTTCTTCTTACATTTCAAAGAATCATGGTAATTTATTAAAAGGAATTATTTATGAAATCCATTCGAGGTCAGATTCTGGATGCTATGAAGACATGCTGAATTTAGAGCAAGAACCACCTCAGTAAAGTAACATAATTCTAATAATAATTCTTAAAAGACCATATTCATTTGTTGTCATTGAATTTCATTCCTATAGTGCTCTCTAATATTTTTTTGAAAAATGTGTGATAAATTCAAATTTAGAGTTTCAGGATCCAATTCAAATGTAAATTTTTTCAAAACCCCCTCAGGGAAAGCTGTTACTTGGATCTCTCATAATTTGTTTTCTGAAGCAATCTTTTACTAGTCAGTGAACTATCATTAAGTCTTTCCTTATAATATTGTATATGTATACCCACACTCACTGATGTAAATCATTTCATTCAAATAGTTCAGGAACCATTATAAGTATTAGTTTATTACGTGTCAGAACATACTAAGAGTTAAATGTGTCACATATACTATTTTCAATGTCATAGCTTAAAGAAATAAAAACAAACCTTTCAGAGAGAATTTAAATACAGCTTAGAAATTTTGCATATTGCAGCTGAAAAACTGTAGGTTAGGCTGCTTGAAATCTCTGAGGATCTAGAGTGGCGGATGGATTTGAACTATAGCAAGGCTTTGTCCAAAAATCCCACAACATTTCTCAACTATGTAAAAAATCCATGTTCCCTTCTGATACATATAAAAATCGGCTATGTCCAGGAGATTCCAATAATTCCACTTCCCACCCCATCCTACCATAGAGAAGTACTACATTTGCAGTGTGTCACCAACAGCCAGTTTTGTCATGCATCTTTCTCTGTAATTTATACTATAAAAACTTTTTTTTTAAGTTCCAAGTACAAAACCACAATGAATATGCCTTTTCAAAAGACATTTACCTGCCCCTTGCCTTGCACACTGCAACCCGCTGTTCTCAGTTGAGATCCTCCATTCATCAGGTCAGTCAAGTCTGGGTTCTGTTAGGCAATGACCTCAACTGACTTTTCCTAAGAGAAAGTAGATGTCCAAGCCAACTGCCTGAACCTCAAGGTTATGGACACCATCTCTGAGCTTCCTCCAGGTGTAAAAAGATCCTCCTAACTCGAATGGCAGCTCGTTAATACCTTTCTCAAAGGAGGCAGAGGTCTTGATAACTCAGCCCCTAGGAATAAAAGAGTGGTGGCTAGAGGGATGATGTGAAACTCCCAAGGGAACTTTCAAAGAGTTTGAGAAAAAGAAAAGAGGTTAGCTGAAAGCAGAGCTGACTCACTGAGGCCTGAATGGAGAATGGAGAATGGAGGCTAAGGTAGGGCAGAGGGCAGCAGTAGGAGGAAAACCTGACAAGTACTTTTTAAGCATTTGACCACTCTGCAATTCACCCTTTGCTTATATCCCCTAACCACTGCATGCATTTATATTAAGAGTAAAAGTATGTTAGACATGGAACTGTTTAAGGTGTTTATTTCTGCAATGGGGAGAAGAGGGCAGGCAGAAAGTTGATTTGAAAAGCATCCCTTGACTTCACCACCAACAGCAGAACCAAGAGGATCCCAGAGAGGAAGGTAAGAGTTGGTAGTAACTGGCAAGGAGAAACCTGAGGTGAAACCCCACTGACCTTCAGTAGGACAGGCAGGATAAAATAGAGCAGCAGCTCAGTAAAACCCTGGGCTTCCCCCAAATCTCTCATTCCTACCAGAAACCCAGAAACTCCCTGAAAATGCAGAAATAGTTTAGGAGAAGAAGGCACACTCATATTTCACTTGGTGGAACCAGCCACTTATTCAAAGGTATACACTTATTCAAGCATGCACTATGGACTTTGTCAAAGTATAATTTTCCAAAATGACTCTGATTTAATTAATGAGGGAAACAGCAGGATGGTAAAAATGGTTCACAAAAACTTCAAGACAATACACAGTTGACTCAAACAATGCAGGGCTCGGGGGGCACAGACCTCTGCAGTTGAAAATCCATGGATAACTTTTGACTCCCCAAAAACTTGACTACAAATAGCCTACTGTCAGCCAGAAGCCTACTACAAACATAAGCAACTGACACATATTTTGAATGTTATATGTATTATATACTGTATTCTTACAATAAAGTAAGCTAGAGAAAAGAAAGCTTTTCAAATTGTCACAAATCCCCAAAAACTTTTCCAATATTCTTATTGAAAAAAATCCATGAGTAAGTGGACCTATGCAGGTCAAACCTGTGTTGCTCAAAGGTCAGCTATGTATGGAAACTGAAAGACTGCTAGAAGATTACTAGGTTAGATACAAAATTTCCTACTAGGCAAAAAACTGTGACCTTGGGGTTCATTCATTCTACCACGTAGAAATCACCTGCAACTTTAACAAATAAACATCTACAAGACTTAATATATAACTCTGAGGGTAAATCCCTAATTAATAGTAACTAGTGACATAAACCAAGGTACAAATAATCCTGGAGAGAATGAAATAATACTGGAATGGCCCTGGTAGGCACTGCTCCAGCTGTAGGACATGCGGTTACCCCTGCACCTTAGTTCTAAGTTCTGGATACTTTTTCTTAACAATGTTTAATAATAATAATAATGTCCCATTTATTGAGCTCCCTACTACCATGGGTCAGGCACTGGGCTAGATACTAATATGTCTTACTTGACTCTCTCCACATTTCCATGACATAGATATGATCTCCACTGTACAGAAGAAGGACACACATTTTTGAAACATTGACTGCCTGAGACCATACAGCTAATGAATGACAGAACCAGGCATGTCTAAGCAGAGTGAAACAGGAAACAAAAATCCTTTCACTTTCTTCCTTAAAAGGAAGCCAAAGACTTAACCTGACTAAGAACATTTCCCTTCACTTTCAGGTAGAAATGTGACCAAATGGAATGAGGTGCTCTTCTTTCTATGTCGCCACACAGAGAAGGGCTTGCAGGATTTACACAGTCGCCCATGGGA